AGCCCCGGCAGGGAGGGCCCCGGGAGAGGACTGCGTGGAGGAGGTGGCGTGGCGAGCTGTCGTCCGACGCGGGAGCCCTGCCCGCCCCCTGCTCCCGGGGCACGCGACGAGGCGAGCTGGGGATCCTCCCGGGCCGCCCCGGGTGCTGGCGCGCTCCCCGCAGCGTCGCGGAGCTTTGGCTGAGCTGAATTGCCTCGGAGAGGACGGGAGGCCTGGGCGGGACCGAGTGCGTCCGGAAAGACCCGAATTCAGGAGCTGCTCCATTCCGGGTGTCGGGTATCGGGGACCAAGGCTTTGGGGGCCCCATGCTGGAGTTTGAAGTGATGGCGTGGACCGCGCCGGCCTCTCCAGGGAAGGCCCGCCCTGCCCCCTGCGCCCTGCGCCTCCCCCCCTTCCTGCCCAGGGAGGCGTGACGCCCTCGGCGGGACGGGAAAAGCCGCGGCCGCGGATCGGGCTGGGCGGCCGTCTCCACCGCGCGGAGGGGAGGCGCGGCGCGCTCTGCAGGCCCTGGCGCCGTGGGAGGCCCCTGTGGGCAGCCGGGGAGGAGCCCCGCCCAGCTCAGCCCTGGGACGCAGCCCCGGGTGGTGGCTGTCGGGCCGGGGTGGCCCGGCGGTCAGCGGGTACAGATGGCGTGGGGCCCCCTGCACATCAGGTGTGCGCGGAGGAGCGGGCTGTGGTCCGCTCTGCTGGGCACTGCTGGCCTCGGCAGGGGCTGGTTATTTAGGCTGAAGTGACGACTGGAACGGGATTCCTGCCGGCCGAGCTGTACCCGCGGAGGGCCTGCCTGGAACCCTTGGGCTGGCAGAGTCACCTGGGTCAGCAGCCGGAAACCGAAAACCGCTTTTCTTGTATTCATTTTACAGGCTTTAAAGCCAAAATGACAGTCCCCAGAGACACACCCCCCCCCATCTCAACCCATTTGAAGGGGTAGGACGGGGCGGAGGAGCAAGTGCCCAGAGCTGCCTGGGGGCGGAGACCCCAGGAAGTGTGCTGAGCCGCTCACTGGCTCACACCACTGCTTAGAGAGGAGCCCCGAGGGGGGAGAGCGCCTGCCCACTAGTGTGGGAGCGCCCTCCCTAGGAAGCCCGTCCTCAGAGCGCCCCTGCGCCCTCTGCCCTGCTCTCACCCCTGTGTTCCCGCAGAGCAGGCTCAGGGCCTTCATTGCCCAGATGTGTTGTTTTCTTCAACCAGAAGCTCCGATTTAAGTCTTTACCAGAAGTACTTCCAGACTGTCTCATGACTGGCCGGCAAGGGTACCTTAGCTGGAAGTCGGAAAGGCTAAATGAAAAAAGAAAGAAAAGAAAAGCTAAATGAATATTAGCAAAGAAGGACGAGGGGCTGCCCCATGGCCTAGTGGTTAAGAGAGCCAGGTGCAACTCAGTCAACCAGTTCAAGCCCTGGCCCCGTGCTGGCAGAGCACACTGGGTGTGCCCCCAACCCAGAGGGATGCAGACGGGAGGGGGCGCCCTCCCACGCAGTGCTGGCCTTTGCTGCGCACACGAGCCCTCGGGGAGTAGGAATGGTACACACAGGGTCGGTTCTAGGACAGTGCGACCGGAGGCTCCGAGGAGCAGCCCGAGACCATCTGAGCCAGACCCGACACGTGACCGGAAGTGCAAACACAGGCGAGATTTCCATTTAGGGAAGGACCAGGCGGCAAGGAAAGCCACTGAGGAAAACACCGCAGAGAAAACGGGTGTTAACGAGATGGTTGGGCCAGGCTGGCGCCATCCAGATGCCGTGACTTCCAGGGCCTGGGCTCCACAGTGGCCCCGTGGCGGTGCGTGCCCTGCTCACTGGCGGGACGTGGGGCTGGCCCTGGCGCCTGGGAGCTCGTCCTCCTGCGGCCCGGAGTCCTGGGGTCTCTGCATAAAAGTCACCAGAGGCCCAGCTAAAAGGACAGAGGGCTGGGGCGCCGGTCAGCGGGGCCGGAGGGGCCGGACATACCCTGTGCACGTCTTGTGTCCTCCCCACGTGGCGTGCAAGTGGCAAATCCAACAGTGGGTGCTGGAGTGCTCCCCAGGGAGTGTCGCGGTGGGGCTTTGGGGGCGAAGGGACCCTTCGAACTAAGGAGGAGTGTGGTCAGGTGGTGGGCGTGCCGTTGGGAGCTGGAGGGAGGGTAGAGAGCTGTGGACGCCAGTCCCGGCCTGCGGGGACACATGCCCTCCTGCGCAGACCTCGGGCCAGGTTTCCCGCAGCCTGCAGTTGGCTGTCCCTCCAGGGAGCCGTGTACCCCGAGCTGTGGAAGGCCCTAGCGGGGAGAAAGCTGCCACAGCTCTGAGTTGCCCCAGCCCCCTGTGCTCCGGGGCTTCGCTACCCCTACCCACCGCTACCGAGGAGGGCAGGCAGCCAGCATGGGAGGGAGGGACACGTTTCTGGTTCACCTGCAAGCTCTCACTCAGGCGCCTCCCAGCACACGGGAAGGTGTTAACATGGGGAACACGCCAGCCCTGGGCACTTCCGGTGGCCTGGCACGCATCTGTGTACAGGGGAGTACACTTTCTCCCAGAATGGCCCCCGGTTGAAAGTCTGGGCTTGAGAAGGGCTGAAATTGGCGGATGTGGGGGCTCTCAGGTGGGAGTGGGCCATTCTCCCAGGCGGCCAGAGCCAGCCCTGTGGCTTGGACACATGAGGACAGCAGTGTCCGGGCTGGGACACCGTCTTCCATGGGGCCAGGCTCTGCCAGGGTCGGGGCGAGCAGTCCGGCCGTGGCTCAGGGAGCCTGCGTCTGCTGACCCCTGCATGCCGGCCTGCCACCCGTGCCTGGTGGCTGTACCTGTGGCCTGTCTGTCCGGGTTTGGCGCACCGCCCTCCACCCCTCCGGGGCTCTGTCCCGTCCCTGCCTTCTCAGAGCCGTCCTTCAGAAAGGGCTGGATGGAGACCACCCCAAGCTTGCCCACGGAGAGGTCCCTGACCAGTCCCGGCAGGACAAGGATGGGACGTGGGCTTGACCCTGCCTGGCTGCCGCCCCAACTACCCAGCTCTGGGGCACCCCCTGCCCCTTCCTCAGAGTCTCATCTCGGGAGCCTGAGTCAGGTCAGAGGCTGTGGCACCCTCACCTTGTCCCTGAGCAGGGCTTTCAGATCGTGTCCCAAGAACTTGTCTGTCCTGCCATCACTGTCCTCGCTCCCGGAGGCCAAGGGCCCCGGGTGGCCAGAGCAGGGCAGGGAGCAGCGTGAGGAAGGCGGGGCCCCATGTGCAGAACCTCTTGCCCTCCCGGCTGGGCTCACCTCGCCAGGGGGAGGCAGGCAGCTTCAGGGCCCTGGGGGAGGCAGAGCAACTGCCCAGTGTCCCCTGGCAGTGTGGTGATGTAGCTTCCCGACACCACCGGGCTGGCGACGGAGAAAGTTACTGCCCATCTTCCCACTCCAGCACAGAGCTCAGCATCGCTGCAGGGGCGTCCGAGCCCATGTCTGCACCAGGGAATGCTGTGTAGACCACCGTGGATGGCCCGTGTTCATCTACAGGTGTCTGTGTGTGCAGATGCCTCTGGAACTGTCGGATAGCATGACTAGAGTGCATTACGGAGCTAGCCCGGCGTCTCTGTGCCCTGCTGTCCCTGAGTCCACAGACAGGCGACGTCAGAGCGCTGCTGGGAAGGGCTGCATGTTTTAAATTAGTTTTAGGGGACCAGCAGTTAGCATAATGGCTATGTCGCCGGACTCCCACGTAGTCGACTGCGGTTCGAGTCCCGGACCCGGTGGCTTAAACTCACACTGGGCGCGTGTGTGTGCGTGCCCAAGATCCCGAGAGGGATTGCGGCGTGGTCATCCCCCCTGGGGGGTGATTTCTCGCTTTCTGTCTGTCTCTGTCTGGCAAGCGCACACACCCTATAGCAAAAAGCTCTAAAAAATAAATTAAATTAAATTAAAAATAAATAAATAAAACAAATTAGTTTTAGAAGAGCCCCAACTTGTAAAAGCTTAAAGCGTCATGTTCTAGTGGTTAGGCGCCTGCCCTGGGAGCCTGAGCCCACACGGGCAACTGAGATTCAAATCTGGATCTCAACAGCTTGAAAAACACACTGGGTACGTGTGCATGCATGCCCGACCCCGACAGGATGGGAGGGGCTGCCTGTGCACTCGTGCCTGGACCCCGACAGGATGGGGGAGGGAGAAGGGGTCGCAGCAGGTCCATGCTCTGTCGGGAGTTACTCTCCCCCTCTGTCTCTGGTGCACACACACCGCCTGGCAATGATAAAAAAATCTTAAGAAAAGTTTTGTGCTTTAAACGCCTCAGAATGGTCGTCTCAAGTCCTGTTCCTAGTACGTGTCCAGGACTGGGTCATTAGCTGACGGCTCTGCTGCGGTCCCAGCTGCGCGTACCACCCTGCGGCTTCCCTCAGCTCTGGCTTCGGCAGGAGGCGCCTCCCAGAAACCTGTCCCCCCACCCCCAGCAGGGTGGGAGGTGTGGGGGATGGCTTTGAGGGACAGTGAGGACTAGTTCGTGACCCGTGGAACTGGTGCAGCACACACAGGGCCAGCTCTCTGGTTGCAGATCCGCCCCGTCCTTGGGCCAGGGTTCGTTTCACTGGGTGCAGACATGCCTTCACGGCCCTCCCCTTCTGCTTACACTCTTGATGAGTCAGACGTGAGGATGCATGCCTTGCTCTTCACAGCCTTGTCCTCGTTAGATTTTTCCCATCCCAGGGGCTTCTCCATCTGGTTGAGGGGGAAATAACCCTGAGCAGCAGGTGGCCAGATCCCACATGGCCGACCGTGAGATTAGAGCCCCGTATTCAGCCACTTGAAAAGCACGCCGCCTGCACGTGGGCGCCCAGAATCCGCTCGGGAGAGAGACGGAGAAGGGGTGTGATGTGGCCGCCCACCGTTGGGCCAGGGGTGCTTTCTTGCTTTTTCTCTTTCTCTTTAGTGGGGGGGCTTATCCTATAACAAAAAACTTTTTAAAGTTCTTTAGGAAAATGATTTCCAAGAGCTCGCCACTCCATGGCCTAGTGGCTAAGGGAGATGGATTCCACATGGCCAACCACAGTTTGAGTCCTGGAGCCAGCAGTGGACATGTGTGCATGCATGCCCAAAATCTCGCCAGGGTAGGGAAGCGAGAAGGGTGCAGTGTGACCACGGCCCTGTGGGAGCTCGCACCTGCCCCATGCTCTCTCTGGTGAGTGCACACCCTCTAGCAATTTAAAAGAAAAGTCCCAAGAATCTATTTGAGCAGAGGGACATTCATGAATCCCATAACATCGGCGCGCGGCCCAGGACCTCCCAGGGGTGCCCGGCAGGTTCCCAGCCCCTCCTGAACTCTCGCGTTCCTCTTCGCAGTCAGCGTGAAAAGCCCAGGCCCAGCAAGGTCAGGCTTCTTCCTCAAAGTCATGCTGCAAAGTGTCAGGCCTTTCCTCCAAGGCGCTGCTGGGACGAGTGCTCTGTCAATGGCTGTCTCTGGGTTCCGGATCATTTTCCACGCGGATGCCGTCTGCATGGGCAGTTAAGGGGAAGGCCCTGTCAGGCAGGGAGAAGTCTTGGTGACCCTGGACTCTGGCCCGGCAGGGTGACCATTGTCCCAGGTGTCCATGGAGCCAGGTGACCGTGGACTCCAGGTGTCTGTCGGCCTAGGTGACCGTGGAGCCAGGTGACTGTGGACCCGGTGACTAGGGACCCCAGGCGGGTCCTGATATTTACCAAGGAGGGAGGGGCCGGCAGGCAGGTCTGACTGCGAGTGGCGGGGTCTGCACACGTGCCAGGCCAGCGTGAGTGGAACACGGGCATGTGCCAGGCGGCGTCATGCACTCAGCCTCGGGAGTAAGTGCCTCTGAGCCTCACCCGTCGTCCCTGAGGGCTGGCCCTCCAGTGAGGTCTGGGAAGGGGGCGGGGTGAAGAGATGGGACAAGCCGCAGACAGAAAGGACATGTTTGGTTTGCCAGGCGTAGCTGCCAAAGAGCTGTCGGACATGAGCACATCGTAAAGCCCGACTGCGGGGAAATGAGCAGCCCTGTTAAAAATGAGCAAGGGACGGCCCAGCAGATGGTGTAATGGTTAGGTCTGGGCCATGGTCCAAGCACCAGACCCAGAGGCTTAAAATTCACATCAGGCACGTGTGCGCGCGTGCGCAAGATCCCGAGAGGACAATGGAGGAGAAGAGATTGTGGTGTGGCCATCCCCCCTGGGGGTGATTTCTCTCTTTCTGCCTCTCTCTCTCTCGCTCTCTCTCGTGAGTGCACATGCCCCAGAGCAAATCTCTCTCTAAATAAATCAACAAACAAGAGGGCCAGTCCCGTTCCTGGTGTTAAAGGGAGCCAGATGCCAAATGGCTGGCCATGGTTCAAGTCCTGGCCCCAGTGACTTGAAAACACACCAGGTACGTGTGCACAGGTGCCCCAGATCTCAACAGGACGGAGCAGTGGAGGAGAGGCGTGGTGTGGCCTCACTCCACAGGGAGCGCTTTCCCCTCTCCTCTCGCTCTCTGTGTCTCTTTGGCAAGTGTATGGACCCTCTGGCAAAAAAAATATATATAGATAGATAGATAGATATAGATATATCTATATATATATATATCCACAGCATATGCCATTAGGGAAATGCGAATTAAAACAGCAGTGTGGGTCCACCACACACCTCTGGAGTGGCCAAAATCCAGAACCCGGAGAGCACTGAACCTGGCCAGGCTGAGGAGACGGAGCGCCCATCCCGCGACAGAGCAGCTGCTTTGGAAGGCGGTTTCCCAGCAAACCGCACATCGCTTACCGTAAAGCCCAGCGACTGTGCTCTTTGGTGCTTGCCCCAGTGAGTTGAAAACATGTCCACACCAACACCTGCACGTGACGTCAGCAGCTTTAGTCTTGGAAACCACCAAGGTGTCCCTCGGTGGGTGGACGGGTAAACTGCGGTACGCCGAGACAGGCGAACGTACTCGGCACCAGGAAGAAACGGTATTCAGCCGTGGAAAGATGCAAGGCACCTTGGGTGTCATCACGGAGTGGGAGGAGCCAGTCTGAGGAGGCCACACCCTACCGTTGGCAGCTACTGGCACTGGAGAGCAACGGGCCAGGCCGGAGGGGTGACCAGTCGGAGCCCCGAGGTGGCCAGGGCTGTGGGACTGCTGTGCGGTGCTGGGATGGTAGAGACATGTCACCGTGTGTGACATTCACAGAGCACGCAGCACAAGAGGACCCTGAAACAACCAGACTTCTCCAGATAATTGGACCTCGAGTCGCACTAGCTTGAGTGCTGGCAGGACACCATGAACAGGTAGCTTTTAAACGGCATTTCCTTCTCACGGTCCTGGAGGCTGGGAACTCCAAGGTCAGGGTGAGAGCGTGGCCGGGTTCTCAGCTACCCTCTCCCAAAGCCAGCAGAACCTGCACGAGAGCCGCAGGGCAGTACTCGCTAGCGCAGACACGGACGTGGTCGACAGCGTACCGACGAGCTGGACTCCGCTGTCTGCAGGAGGGAGGGGGCTCCGTGGCGAGCGAGGGTTGTCTTAGAGATGGAAGGTCAAGAAATAGGGGGCGTGTGAGTTTGGGGTGCAGCGTTGTCCAGCGTGTCTGGAATGGGGTGGGAGGCAGGCAGGGCCAGCGGCAAGGTTGGAGAGGGAGCCCGCGTGGTCTGTGTGCCCGACAAGGTTGGAGGGCTCGCCCAGCCCCTGCTGCCTGAGAGTCCAGCCTTACTAGCCCCTGGCCCTGACCCGGTGGTGACCAGGCAGCACCAGCCCACTGTGTTACAGAGCCGGAGGTCAGAGGTCAGAGATGGAGGCAGTGGCCTGGCCTGGAGGCACTGCAGGGCTGTCCCTCCTGGGCGTTCCTCCAGGTCTCCGTCACCTTCCCCAGCGTCTCGAGGTGCCTGCCTTCCTGCGAGGCCCTGCTGCCTGCATGGCCTCCCCTCCCTCTGGCTCTGGCGCTCTGCTCCTGCCTCCATCTTTCACCCACGGAGGTGCTGACCCGTGATCGGCCACATTGTTTTCTCTGGGAAAAGGCATGAGATCTGGCCCCTGCTGTTCTCGTGTAACTGCCTACAGGCTCCATCTGTGTCCAGTGGATGTGACCGTCTACAGGGAAGATGCGTGGGCCACTTGTGTTGGGCAGAGGTGTGGCTGGGCACTGGGAGGGAAGGCTTGTCTGGGGAGGCTCATGGCCTGGGCCTTGGCGGTGGGCCCCGTCTTCCCTACGTGGGCCCAGGGTTCTGATCACTGTCTCCCGAGGCCCAGCATGAGTCCCTGGGCGGGTGGAGACACCAAGGGCCGAGGAGAGGAGAGCCGGGCTGCCCATAGACAGGTCTCTTGTGCTTGCAGGTGAGCCCCAATCGGAAGCCCAGGATCAGCCTCTCTGAGCATTGAGCGTCACCGCCAGCCTCTGTCCCTGCCCCAGCCTCTCACTGCCACTTCTCGGCAGGTAAGGGACTGACTTCCCCATCCAAGGGCAGGTCCCTGTGAACAGGGGTCTCTGCCAGGTGTGAGGGCTGGCCGGAACCTGTGTGCTGGTCTCCACCACCAGCTCCCGGCAGGCGTCCCTGTCCCACCCTCCTGCCTCCGGAGCCGGCGTGGCCCCTGCACAGCCTGCCCTTCCCAACTCACAGGTGTGCTCTTGGGGCAGGGCGTCCCGAGCCCTTCTGCAGGTCCTGGGCCTCGTCCAGGGAATGGCTATGCCCCAGGAGGAGACTCAGGACCACGCCTGCTCAGCTCGCTGGGGGGGCTGCTCCGTCCCTCTGTCCTCTGGGCAGCCCCCCTGCAGCTGTCCTCCTCCCTGTCCCATCTAGGGGACACTGGGAAGGCCCCCTGGCACCCATCCTTCCCGATTCTCAGGCTGCTCCGAAGCCAGGAGGCCAGAACCCGGCCTGGGCTCCTCACCCTGGTCCCGGCCTGGCCTTGCCTGTGCGGCTGAAGAGCAGCTCTGCCCACAGCCTCCAGAGACGTGGGTGTGCCCAGAGGCTGGCCCGGGCAGAAGGTGCTTCCAGGGGGCCGAGAGCCCAGTCGGACCCCTTGGCAGGCCCCTGCATGTGACTTTGTTGCGTCTCCACTTTGTCCCTGCTCCCATGTCCCACTTCAGTCAAGGGACATGTGCGGGGAAGACACGGAAGCCCATGCAGCAACGTGGCACCTGGGTCACCTTGCAAAGGCATTTAGGGCAGGGAGGGGCTGGAGTCTGGGCCAGGCCTGGCTCTGGGTGGACCCAGTGGCACAGGCCTGGATGCAGGAGGGTGGGTGCGCAGAGAGCCCCATGCACCAGCAGAACAGGGCGCCCGAAAGCTGTAGCGACTGAGTCTCCGTCTCCTGCTGACGGAAGTTCCCAGGCAAGGCAGGCTGGCCAGGTGGCACGCCGATGTCACTGGCTGACCTGTCTTGGTACGAGAACCTTTGTGTCGCCTTTGACCACCCGAGTAGCCCTGTGCACACCTGGCCAGTTCAGCACGCATGTAAGTGCTGCTCACGCCGGGCACCACCCGATGCTCGTCCCTGGCACCGAGAGCGTCTGTCCAGGCTGAGGTGCTGGCTTGTCCCCTCTCTGGAGAGCAGCTCCCTGCTTACCCCAGGGGGCGACTCCCAGACACCCTGGCTGGGGCAGGTGCTCTCAGTGGCAGATCCCTGCAGAGGGGGACTGCCACCCTCTGGCTGTGGTCGCTTCCAGGGCAGCAGCATGAGAGAGACCGTGGCCAACCATAGCACCGCCAGCATCTCCCAGGCCAGGAAGGCCGTGGAGCAGCTGAAGATGGAAGCCTGCATGGACCGGGTCAAGGTGAGCGCCGAGCGGCCGGGAGTCAGCGTCGCCCTGGGCCAGCCCGGGCCACCGTCGTTTACAGGCAGGGCTCTGGGGGCGTGGGCACGGTGCACGGCCGCGGGCGGTGCTGGCGTGGACACCTGTGCTGCTGGCCACTGAGCTCTGCTGTCTTGTCAGCGGGCAGGGAGGCAGGCTCAAGGACGACGTCAGGCCCCGCAGCTGTGCCTGGGACGGGAACTTCAGGGTTACGCAGCATCGGGCGTCATCCAGGGCGCCGTTGGGGGAAGCGCAGACCCCTGCCTGCTTGCCCGGAGCCCCTTTGGGGAGAGTGAGGATGGGCCGGCCTCCGCCGTGCTGCTGAGGGCAGCAGGCTCCAGAGCGAGGGATTCGGGACTCTGACAGCAGGAGGCAAGCCACAGGCTGCGTCTGTGGTCTCTGGGGACTCACCGGGGGCTTGCCTGGCCATCTGGGACTCAAACGAGACCGAGTCCAGGCAGAGCGAGCCGTCCGCCCTGGGCTGGCAGTACCGGCCCGGTCTCCGGGAGGAGCAGCCCTGCAAGGGCAGTGAGGGCGCAGTGCCAGACAATGGGCCACACCCTTCCCTGGAGTGGCACCTGTCACCTGCCATGTTCCTGGGTCTGCAGGCCACCAGGTAACCACCCGAACTCCAGGCAGCCCCAGTATGGCCGGAATTGAAGCCAGTGCCCCGGCCGGCAGGCACCCCGGTGACGGCCAGCACAGTGGGTCTCCGAGCTCAGGGCTCTGTGGAGTGACTGGTGGGCCGGGGCGGGCTCTAGTCTGTCGTCTGTCTTCCTAACTTCTTCAGCTCACGGCTTTGGAGGTCCTCGAGGGTCATGATGAGGGCCTTCCGACTGGTGGGGGCTCTCTGCAGGGCCTGAGGCGCAGGAATCGCATGGCGTCCCACTTTTCGGGCCCCCTCTTCTGTTCTAAGGGTTCCGACAGTGGCAGCAAGCCCCACAAGCGAGACGGTTCTGGGTATCCACTTCTGGCATTCAAAGCCTTTTCCTTTTCTTTCCTTTTTCTTTTTTTTTTTAAGAATTGTTTTATTTACCTTTATTTATTGTTATTATTTTCCAATTTGACCAGATAGAGACGGGGGGTGGGGAAGTGAGAAAGTGAGCCACCATGTCCAAGACTTGAACCAAGTGGGACAGTGTGAGTCCAGTGCCTTTAACCACCATGCCACCTACCGGTTCCGAGAGAATTTTGCTATGTGGCGCATGTTCGCCAGAGAGACAGGAAGCAAGAAATCACCGCCTGGAGGGATGGCCACCCGCAATCCCTCCTCTTCTTGGGATTTTAGGCATGCACGCGCACGGGCCCAGTGAAGCCACTGGGTCTGGGCTGAACCTCGGTTGACTACGTGGGAGTCCAATGACGTAACTATTCCGCCATCTGCTGGTCCCTCGAAGCCTTTCTCATTAGCTCGGGCGGGCTAGCTGCTGTCAGAAATCAGAAAATGGGGCTATCCTGGTGGCACAAGCTGCAGCCCTGCTGCACAAGCTGGGCCCGCAGAGAGGCCCGGGTCCCGCTCGTGTACCGCTCGTGTACCAGTCTTCCCTGGAAATGAGGTCGGCGGGGTCGTCTGGGCGTCTGCCTGGAAGGGTAGAAAGTTGCCTCTAAGCGAGGTTGCACACCCACGCTCACAGCAGCTTATCACAGCGGCAGGCGTGGAAGCAGCCCAGTGTCCCCACGGGAGAGTAGGCACACAGGGCGTGGGTGGGCGCGGCGCGGAACACCACTCAGCCTGGAAAGGAGGCGAATTCTAGCTTGTGCTGCAACATGAGCGAACCTTGAGGACGTCGAGCTAAGTGAAATGAGCCACGAAAAGACAGGACACCGTGTGGTTTTGCTTGTACGAGGTTCCTGCAGCAGTCACGCGTGGAGACAGGAAGTTGAACGGCAGTGGCAGGGTTGGGGAGGGAGGGTGGCGCGTTCTGTTCAGACAGTTTTGTAAGATAGGAGAGGTCTAGAGAGAGGGGGTGAGGGCCACGCGACCACGTGGATGAATCTGGCTCCACTGAGCTGTGTTCCTGTGGGTCTCAGACGGCATATTCTGTGTTAGGTTCATTTACCGACAGACACATTTGCTTACACGAGCACGCACATCTGTAGGAACGTGTAGGTACCATCACGTGTCTTACAGAAGTGTTTTCTGTACACGGGTCGCAATACGTGCACCCGGTCGCTGTGGGCCTGTCCTGCCCGAGGAGTCCGTGCCCTCTGGTCCATGTCAGCATAGGCCCAAGCGCTCCCAGCACTGTGGAAGCCCCTCCGTCCAGCCTCGGCCCTGCTGGCCCCCTTCCTCTCCCCGC